AACCCCAGAGGGTGCTTAAAAATTAAGGAGGATTGATACTGATTTAAACTTGCAGATCAAAACAACTTGGACTGCATTTCCAAACTCATTGATTACTGATATTGACTGATGTTGGAGAAAATTGTTGACACAAATTTTGCAGAGCATTTTTCATTCTTTTTTAAGTTCAAATTTAACCTATTTTTATTACTAAATCACATTTGAACTTACCTTTGAAATAAGCTTAATTTCACTCTGTTATGATTTCTGCTGTTTTTAGTATCTTTGGTCTAAGAAACATTTTACAGTAGTTTTGAATCAGACACCACCTCCCCAATTGTTATAAAAATTGCAGTGATGATCACAAAAAAAAATTGCCAGACTTCTGCTTACAAATAGAACTACAGGACAGCTTCCAGGTCATCTAAACAAACATCAGATATTAAAACACATTCATTTCTTTGATTGAAAACTGTTAGAATTACCAAGAGCTCCTGCTTACTTACTAGATTCTGGGAACCTGAATTATCCAGCGCATGTTAGGTGAGTAAACTTTATGTTTAATGAACCATTTTGCCAAGTTCTGCCACTCATCTGGAGACCGCCCGTAAATGGATAACCGGGGTTCGGTGTACTGGTATTTACTTTCTTCTAGTTCACAGGCTACTTCCTAATGAATAATAAATATATTTACTTTAATACAGAGATTACAGATCAGTTAGAGCTGGTAGCATAGTATGCTTATCATTCTGCTTTTCTCCAGACATAACTCTGTACTGTCACCCTCTAAAGATAAAAGGAACCTTTTGTCTGTTAATCCATTATTTTAGTTTAGTTAGTTAACTATGTTACTAGCTTGCTGTTTCAGAAGTCCTTTGAGTAAAATTAAATGTATCACCAGTATTTAGAGGACTTGATTCTTGCACAATTACTAATAATAATATTGCAAGACTTATGTTTAATATTGGTAAATTGGAATAATATTACTTTATACTATAGTAAATGATTACATAAAATATGCAAAGCAATGCAGACTCTGATGCAGACTCCAGGGTAGTAAGTAGTGTTAAGGACATTAATTTTAGACAAGCACTTCTATAGATATAAAAAGAGATGACATCCAGCTCAGGACTACTAATAATTCTTTTGCTGAAAGAAGAGAATGTTAAGCCTGTGCGTGTGTGTGCAGATAGAGATTATGCAGAGGAACTTTCCAAGCTCCCCTCCTCTCTTGTGACTACATCTTACCTAAATAGTGAGCCCTGGCTGCTCTCCATTAGTTTGAAAGTGCACACAACTCAGCTTTGAACTCAGACACCAGTTAGAACTCATACAACTGTCAAGAAAGCAGCAGTGGCTGATTAGCAGAGATCTTATTTTTGAGGAACTGCTAGAGCAACCTTAATACTTGAGAATCACATAACCACTGTATTAACTGTAGATGCAATTCTGACATCATGGAACTTTTACAAAGACCATTTGCTCCACAGCTGGAAAAGTGAAAACATTGTTTACCTTGACCATACGAGCAAAGTATTCACCACCAATGTAGTTCTCAGTTTTCAAATACAAGTCCCTCAGCTCACTGGCACCGACTGGATTGTATTTAGAATTGAATTTGTCAAATCGATGAAATGTTTGACGACCCTGTGAGAGGGATAGAGGGATAGAGGGAAAAAAAAAAAAAAAAGTAATCCTCACAATTGTACCCAAGTCATGGTTAAAAGTACACAAATAGTTTATAAATCAAATTATCTAGCCATAAAATGCACAGAAAAGAAAGTGCCTGTGCTAAATTATTTCAAGCATGTACAATATGCATGAGTTCAAATTCTGGTTTAATAAGTTATCATGCAAAAAATTGTAGAAACCAGCCTTTTACACTTTACAGAATATTGCTTTTTCTTTTATTTTGGTAATATAATGGACTTACTGCATGAACATCTAAAGAGTCTACAGTGAGGTCATAAGGGTCCATGTGAAGGCTTTCAAACACTTGCTTTAAAGTCATCTTTTTGCCTTTTTTCTCTGCAACAATCCTGTCTGGCTCTGTTTGGTAAGTGTGCTTAATAAATCTCAGCAAATGTTTCTGGTTCATGCAGGCGGCAGCATGGATATGAGTATCAACCTGAAATCAAAACAAAGTTATTCCTTCTCATCATCTGTATACACTCAACTTAAATTAGAAAAGTATTTATGTCAGAGAAAATGACTGAAGTGTTCTAAAATAGTCCTTATCTAACAAGAGAATTAGCATCTGAGCAAGTCAAAATGTTTCAGCACCATGAGATTTTGAGTGAATTACTTATTTTTTTATGTTACAAATAAGCCCTCAGTTAACAGCTTCTTTATTGAAAAGCCTTCTGAAAAAAAGGCTTTTTAAAAAGTCATGTTATACTTGAATATAAGGCAAGTATGGAATCTGGGTTCAGATTAAATTTGACAATTTCTTAGAAAAACCTCCCTAGACTTTTTTTTCATCCATAAATTCATGATGGCTTTTCAGTTATAGACTGTAGTTATAACCATCATCTCTGAATGAAAGTACCTGCAATTCTCATTTGTTTCCTAAAGTGTAAGTCTGAAAGTTTCATGTGATTGAAATACAAGAATAGCTTAAGTCACTAAAACTATAATATCAACTCCTATGGGAGTTTTCCTGCTATTTTTTCCAAGTTTAATCATAGTATACTAATCATAATACTGACACAGATTTTTGAGGCCCTTCAGATCTTAGGAAGCAACACTTAGTCTGTTTGCAATACACATTGCAGAGTGATAAGTCAACAAGGGTATGATGGTTCACACAAGCCAGCTAAAAAGCACCACACACACCAGCTCTGTCCTATATATTGGTAGAAGATGGTTTGGAGTCTTTGTAAATAACTTTTTACCATAAAGTCTTACGTAAAACTATAGCTGAAAGGGCCACTGAAACACTAGAATAAGAAAGGAGCTTCAAAGCAGAAATAAATAATTTTGCCTCTAGACAACACAGCAGACAGAATGCACCTAGCTCTGCTGTCTACATTTAAAGATTTAAAAATAGAAGTAGGGACAACATTCCCAAGAAGGAAACAGGAGTTGAAATACCACCCTGCCTTGTTACAGCAAAAATGCAACCTGTTTGGGTTGTCAAGGTGCAGTCTGGGAGTTGATCAGCTTTATACAGGTATTTGCACATCCAAAAGAGACCATGAGGAAGTAAGGGGGCTTTCAGTCTTGCAAATAGTGGATTTACAAGACCTGATGGTTGGTTGTTTTGCAGTTTGTACATGCAAATATTAATAGCATAACTAAAAGCTCGAGAAAGAAACTGTGCCTCAAAGTACAGACCTTGAAGGAAAACTGCACTGCTACTGCACAGTAAATGCCGCTATGTTTAAAACAGTATAAACAGCTCTGCTGATCATATTATTACACTCCTCAGAATATCTGTAGAAACATTTGAACATGAGTACGTATTATATATGCTTACTCAGGTTAGAAGCTTTCTGTTTTGGAAACAGCCGTTCAGTAGGAAGTCTCCCTGCACCCCTGAAACACTGAGAGCTCCTAGGTTTAGTTAATTTTTATCAGACAAGGAGACAGCAGTCAGCAGATGCAGCCCAAGTGCTAAGGGCTGAGGAAGAGCAAATTATAAGCACAGAATAGCAGCTGTAGGGAGCCTGTGTAAGCCTAGTTTATTTGGCTTCACAATGTGTTAGTTCCATGGGTGGCTCAGCTACTGAAATTCATGAGTCTTGCAAATAAACACTTCCTCTTTGTTTAAAATCAACATGAATTCCCTCCTGTTTGGAGGACAAAGAAGAAATAGGAGGAGACAATTTTGCTTCTTTTGTTTGCTTACAGGACAAATAAGAGTTGTCTTTCAAACTGCTGCTTCTCTCTGAAAACAGTTCTGCCTCTAACAAATTCTAAGTTTTCTCTATTTGTTACAAAAGGCATGGTGCATAGAGAACTTGAAACAATTTAGTTCACTTAAGAGCCATAAATGTCCCCTTCACCTTGTCACCTTCCTTCTCCCTTGCAAAAAGACAAAGCAGTCCCATTTTTAAATTGTTATTATTTCATTCTTCACACAGCACAGAAGTAAGCTACAGATTTTGGGGACATGCCTAACAAGCCTCTACCACCAGGTCTCTCTGCTTCTATTTCCAAATATTGTTTCTATTTGCATTTCCAGATTTGTTATAATGCAACAATTGTGTATTTCTTGCATAAAAAGATCTTCCTTCTTACTTACTGCCACTTTGGGCTTGTATGGAGAAGTTTAATTCCAACATCGGTAAAGTGCTATCAAAAACAAAAATTTGCAGTCGAGTAACCTGTTAATTCTGTTGTGTATATGAATTTCATTCTTTTTTATGAGACTGGTAGAGCTTATAAGTATTGAAATATATGTATATCAAAGTATATTTAGAAGTATTGAAAATATTTCAGAGAGGTAAGAAATGGTGTTTCAGCCCTGCATAGAGGTAAGAAGCAGTGTTTCAGCCCTGTGTCACCAAAAAAAAGGAAAAGAAGTATTGGTTTAAAAAGTAACTTCTAGCTTTATTTATTTATTTACTTTTAATTCAGCTACAGCAACTTAGACCAGATGGCACGTCACAGCAGCAACCAGCTATTGCAACATAGGACTCAACAGGGCTGAGCTCAATCACTAAACATGTCTCACTGCATTTGGAAAGGTAAAGCAGAAATCCAACCACCATTATTTGCTGGCATGACAATTGAAGCTTGTTAATTCTTCCCATTTCCTTTCCTTTTATATTTTTAGGTTTCCTGGTTTAATAAGAATGCTTAAGCTCATCTAGACTCCAGTGAGCTCATTTATTTAATAAATTACAAAGCAAGGCTCCCATTAAATTAGCAAAATGTACTTCTAAGAAAAGATAGACTTAATGAATGAGTGGACTTAAACGAATGGACTTAACCAGAGCACATCTTTGGTAAGTTTTTCACTGATCAGACTGGAACTGGAAATTTGCCTCGTCGTAACCATCCAAATATTTATCTAGACAGACAAGAATCCACATGTGGTAATAGAGCATAACTGGTTCTGTGTTGCTCACCACAGGAGATGGGCACTTCCTGTCCATGTAGAAGGCGGCAAAGCTTGGGAGAAGACAGAGTTTACCATCAGCTGAGCTCTTACATGTTCTCCAGCCCAGGCACAGTAGAGCACGGTCTACCTACATCCTCTCAGGTTGTCAGACATTAAGGATGAAATAAAGTAACGGAGTTCAAGTATGTGAAGGTGCTTTGAGCTGAACTTCCAGCACATCATTCAACAGCCCAGCAGAACATTAAATATTCATAGCCATCTAATCTTGGCACTTTCAGTCAGTTACACGGGTTCTATTAGACAAGCAGAAAGATAGAACCAGGTCTCCATACTGGTACCTCCAGGATGGACTAGAAAATTTCACTGAAAGGTGAATCTTATGCCTTGGTTTTCTTTAAAGCAGTACCCACCATTTAGGACTGATTGAGAGAGACATCCCGAACAGAAGAGGCTCTGGTAGCATCTATTTCACATTGTAACTTTAATTGCAGGTAGTGTAACTAGTGAAGAAGCACTTGTAGCAAATTGAAGTCCAAACATTATTTGTGGAATATTATTATGGAAATAGGTTATTTCTGGGCTTAGAGTAATTCTGTCATCCATTTTGCTTCCCATAGTGACTGCTTCAGAGAAGCAAGATTTTTTTAAGTGATAACTAGCAGTAGGAATGGTCTCCACCAGAGAGCGAGATTGCTCCTGACTCTTGAAATTAGGTACTGACAAAGGGGAAGTGATACTTGTGTTTTTAAAAATTTAGCTATTCATAGACTAGCTTATTTACTACTAGGTAATTAGAAGAAAAATATGGTGTTGGCTTTTAAGAGAAAAGCTGAACTTTGAAAGTAGAGTCCTGTACAGTGTCAGTACTGAAATGGATTGTCTAGGTGCCTATCTGGTCCACAGCTCTCAGTCACCATGCATTTTATCATAACATCTCTGTCAGGCAGGTAAGTGTTACATCTGACCATAGCATAGAGTTAATATCTTAGCCAAAGTTACGCAAGCAATCTGTCAACAAGTTTGGAATTAAATTGCAGCCACTTGAGTCCTGTCTTAGTGATTTAGCCATTAGCTTCTCCCATCCATACACTTAGGAGATGAAAGTGTGAAATTAATTGGAATTTATCCAACAACCTATCTGCTCCTACCCTTGTGATGAACATTCAAACTCGTTGGTTTAGTAGGCTTTGTGACTGATGGTTTATTACTACAACAGCAGCAAGCATTAAGCAGCTTTGTAGTAGTCCTGACTCTTCCTACATTAGCAGCCATCACACTGGACACTAAAGATTTTCTGGATGTGCTGACAAGTCAGAGCATAACAAGAAGGATCCAAGTATTGACCTAAACCCTAAAGTAGTCTTTTGAGTTACCAAATTAGGACTCGCTCTTTTAATTGCATATTGAAACAATGCAAAATGGGCCCAAAATATAATCATGTGTACCAATACAACAAATGTAATGCCAGCAAGAACTAATATTTTCTAGAGAAATCTCACTTGTCAAACTGAAGCAAAAGTTACTTCCTCTAAAGTTGAGGGAAGGGAAGCAAACTAAGCAGCGTAACAATGTTCCTTCTATATTTCTAAGGAAGGCAGCTTCCTGGAGTGCAAGCAGGCAGGAAATGAAAGCAGCTTCTCTATTCCCCTACCTGAAACCTCATTGCATTCCATTGAATGTCAAAGACAGCTAAGAATCTAACTCAAACGCTAAGTCAGCCTGTTAAATAAGTACCACAGATCTCTTTAGCAGGTGCTGATGGCAGCAGGAACCATGAGCCTGCTTTTTGTAGGAGAACATTTCCATTTCACCTGCATTTGTACATATGTATTTTCAGTGTAAAGCGCAAATTGTATCCAAAGTGCTTTTAGCTGTTCATAATACAGTCTATTAGAACTTACCTACATGGAAACAGGAAAGTGCATTTAAACTATCTTTAAATTAATTAAACTAAATTAGACATCCATATGGATGTTTTTATTCATCATTGAAGTAAGCCTAATTTGATTGTTTTATTCCTTTGAAGTGATCCACATAGTATTAAGCCCTTTTGCTTCTGAATAAAGAAATAGAGGAATTTAACACAACTCATTTAACCTACTTACATTCAGATTAATTTTCCTGAGTGTTCCTATGTAGAAAAGCCTGAATATTTTTAATGTGACCTATATGAGTAGTAGGCACATACATACTGCTTTATCCATTTGTTCTACACTACACAAAGAAAGCAAAACTGAAAATTTCACTGAAAACTATGTCATACTCTTAGTCCTTTGACACTTACCTTTCTCACATTATAAAAGTCTCGATGGGGATTACTCTTCAGTTCTTTAAATTCAGACATTTCATTTAACATCTCATGTAAACTGAATTTAGATTCTAGAAAGTTAAGTCGACGATGGCAATATGTTTTTCTGGAGGTGAAGAGAGAGAGAGGCAACAAAACTTTAACTGTGATGTGAAACTATTTCCATTTCAAGTTCCTAAAGAAATTACTATTTTCATAATTTAAAAATAATAATAATATAAAGACTTAAGACCAATCCATTCTGTTTATCCTACTGATTATCAAGCATGCAAATGAAAACCCAGTACGATTTCAGGACAAAGTTATTAGTAAAACTTCAGAGCTATATATGTATGTTACATGCTTTAATTTTTCTATCTTATCACTGCATCTGTAAATAAACTGCAGCTTTTACTAGTGTTTTGGCCAGAGAAAGCATACATACTGCTACTCCAAAATCAAATATATCCAGTAGAGCAGATAATCTGTAAACAAGACTTATTTAATGATGGAAGTACAGATTTTTTTTTTAATCCACATTTATTTTATTTTCATTGGGAATACTAAAAACCATGATAAGAATATTTTATTTTTGATTCCTTATAAACACAGTTATGTAGAAATATCTTTTTTCAAAATACTTTCTTTTGCTCTTTCAGAAATCATGGGTTTTGGTCCTGCTTGCCTATTCCTATTCATGGCTTCACTTTCATCTTCTGGTGCATTTCTCACTCTATTTTTAAACAATGACATGCTTTTTCTCTTCACTATCTGTCAATTGTTATCAAAGCTGCAATATTTTCTAGTATAACAGTATAACACTTTTAGTATAAGTCAGCTTTCTTTACTTCTTCATTGACATTTTGTCATCAATGGAATACAAATCTAATAATGGATTTGAAAAATCACAGAATCACAGAATGGTTGAGGTTGGAAGCGGCCTCTAGAGATCATCTAGGCCAAATCTGATTCAAACAAAGTCTCACTGTACTAATCAAGACCTATTTGCTGCTGCAGAATATCTTTGTTGAGTTATACTATTATTCAAGAGACCAGAAAACTGAGGATTAAGGACATTATTTCACCAATTTAAGGACAGTAAGGATAGAACAATGAGTTAGTTCTCGATCTCTAAGCAGCCCAATGTATAATAGACAAGTGGTAGGAATGTGCTTTCCATCATCAAGAAAACAATACAGTATGAAGAGATTATGGAACAGGATTACTGAAAAGAGTCTTTTGGTTTGTGTGTTTTCATCAAGGAGTATAAATCAGATGGGAATGGCTTAATCTGAAGAGCAAGAAGAACAGATGATTGCCTGCACTGAGCAAATGACTTTGTTATCCAGGATGTCCTACCAAGGCCTTTTTTTTTCCTCCTGCTTTCCTTATTAAGGCTGCTAGCAGATGCTGCAAAAGAGAATTCTACAGTATGAGTCTTTTTTAAAAATACTTTTTTTGTCCTTTAATCTTCTCAGCATCCATCTCTCTTGAAATTCACCACACTGAAACTGGAAATGCATTTACTCAAGGCATACTCTAAAAAAGCACACTTAAATTAGCTTTCCTCTGGAGCTGGAATATTGACAATAACAATGGCAGAAGCACAGACCTGTGCTTTTGAAGAAGTGCTTGGAAAAGGGGACAGGTCTGTTCAATCCAGATGTTTTGCTGCTATCAATGTAAGAGACAGGCAGAATATGCTGCAAGTGTCCTAGATGCAGAGCAGGAAGGGAAGACAGACAACCCAGAAGAACAGCCCAGCTTCCTGCCTTGTTCCCTCCCAAGATGGATTTTTTTCCTTTCCTGGTATTGAGATCAATACACTAAAATTTCCAATCTTCAGCTTAGAAGCAAAATTTGTGTTACTCGTAACCTAAAATTTGAATCCTCAAGTTTTCCTTATTCCCTTGACAGAGACATTGACACATATGACAAAACAGTGACAGAACTACAGTTGTTATATTACTGGGTTTAGGGAGATTTTCCTGGAGTCTGATGGTTCTGAGAAGCTTGAGACCCTTTGTGATTGTTCAGTTTTGTGGTGTACAAGGAGTTAATTAACATCTGGAATAACTTAGACCAAACTTGTGTTGATCTTATGCTCCAGTGCGTACACTATAAATATATAGAGTTCCTTTTCACGCAGCACCAAGTCAGAACAGACATGAAGGTATTCTAGATAACTGTTCTAGCCTTCATATTCAACACAGGCCAAAACAAAAACAAACAAACATACAAAGAGGTGAGGTTCAAGTTTCAGTCCCCAAGACTGAAGTAGTCTAGGTCAGATTTGGCTTGGAGAAATATTTGATGAAAAGAAAGTCAAGAAATAGAATAAAACTGTATATGTTTCTTCCTTTTAGGTGTTTTTGATGCATTAGTGCTTGTAAAGGGCAAAACATACTTGACTGTAGAATGAATACTTTGAGGAATTAAGTATCACAAAAATAAGAAGTATTGAAGCAGGTGTAACAAGCTGCCTAATAGGGGAAGGAAGAAAGAAAGAAAAACGTACGTTGGACCGTCTGCAATTAGAGCAAGAACATGGCTCAGGTCAAGAGTATAGGTCTCCAGGTCAGGATATGGCAAACTCCGAGGTTCATTGAGTTCCATCATTTCCTTGTTATCATAAACAAAGGGAATGCCACCTTTTATCTTGATAACATAATCCAAATTGTCTGGAGCATCATCAAGATTGTAAGGATCTTCATTTTCTTCTGGGGGTGAATGAAAATCTGGAAATAAATTTATATAATATTAAAAAAATATATACACACACACACAGAGAAAAACATATGCACAGAAAGAACTTTCTACTTCTCTATATTACGAATCTCAATATTAACATTTACATTAAAATTGCAGCTAGTGACTATTAAAAAAAAAAAATGAACAAAAAAACCCATAGTATTGTTACAACATAGCTCCATTTTGACAGACAGTCAGGTTATATTTAACCACAGTCTCTTTAAGACAACAGCTTCTACCTTAATTCAAATTATTAGAGTTCTCTGAACCAATGTATAAACATACAATAATAAAGAACACCATTATGTCTGATGGCACAAGTTTCAAAAGAAGCTTCCAGAATATTTAAATTAGAGCGGTTGAAAGTACAGTGGAGATTTTTGAACAGCTGTTCATTACATAGCCACCTTCATTATTTTCTTTTAACTTTATGACTCATTGTAATAATTTAGGAAATTTATATTTATGCACACAGTAAAGACGCTGGTTCTCATATTGAAACATAAGCCAGGAGAAAAAAATGAGTCTGTGCTTTACCTCATGTCTGCCCTCTTCTAGAGATCCAGTGAGGTGGACCAGTACATCGGATTGTTTCCTCTTATACCGTGTGTGCATGTCTGGAGTATATTCACTATTGGTTGAAGGAAAGACAATCTAGAATTCGTTGCCTCTCACATCTGACCAAAGCAATGTTTGCAAAAGGAAATTACACCCTCCTACACACTACTCAGGTACTCACCTAGTGTACCTGAATATCTGTGTTATAAATGGATGCATATTTATCTCTAACATTCACAAATATCCAGCTATAACTTGTGCCAACTCAGAGATCATGTAATGAAATTTTGTATCTTAAGTTTAAAGTCACAGCTGTTAAGAAGTTATTTTCCTAGTAACAGCTTGAAATTAACAGCCCATCACCTGTTCCAAAGTATCTTCCCTATCTTGAATATTCACCCTACTGTCTTCTTTACTCCCCCCCCCAGCATAACAAAAAATTGAAGATATGTTAATTATCTCTCTTCCAACAACTGAACTAGAGGGCAATTAATTTAAAATGTGTCTTTCTGGACAGGTTTATGGCTAAGAATAAACTGACAACAATATGGAATTGTCTACAGTGACAAGTCTGTAAAGACCAAAGGACAAATAAGTATAGCAATAGTATAGCAACATATAGCAATATATCCAACCTAATAAACTCTTACCTTTCAGCAAAGGTTATTAGCCCAGGCAGAGTGCCCAGCAAACATGACTATACAGCTTCCAGACTTGACCTGGTAAGCATGAACCATGTTTGTGAATTTACTGACTCGGGGCTTGCTAACGGTCATATGTACATGATGCTTCAGTTTACAGTAGATGTGCCCATAATTCTTTTTATTTTAGTATGTCAAAATGAACAGGAATTTTTTTTTTTTTTTTTTTTTTTTTTTGCTTTTAATGTTCAGAGTTTCACATCATACACAGGCTCTATAGCATAAGTCCTTTAGTGATTCTCCCCCACTTACAAGGAAAATAAATTATAGAGGCAAAAATCACACAGAAGAGAACATTATACACCCAACTTACCTTTAGTACAGCAGTATACAGGTTTAGCTCTACATTAAATAAAATAAGGATATTCACCTGGACACACTTCATCTTCAACCTTCCATTTTTCATCTCGCATGCTGCACAAATACTGGGACGTTGTTCTCGGGAAGCGATGATAGGCAAGACGCGAGTACTTTTCTCGAATGAGAAGAGCTTTCACAAGGCTTTTGGCAGCCTGCTCATAATCATCAACTGTAACCTGAAAGAAAAAACCCTGGATAAATACTGACAAAAATTCATAGGCATTTTTGATCACGGAATCTATGCCAGTAATAAGGCAACTGGATTTCCAGAAACAAAATGTATGTGATTTGAGCATAAGGTTCTTTTGCACTGCCGCCATGTCCATGGTCACAGAGAGCCCGTAACAGAATGGGAGTCCAAACAAAATGTGCAAACTACACACAAAAAAGTTTTTCTCCTCCCATATACTGTGCATATATTTAATCCCTAATTATACTTTACTGATTTATATACTTTTGGGGAAAAGTATAAGCAACTTCATATAATTTTGACTTCAATTCTGTTTTGCAAACCAATGCATTCACTGAACATTTTAGTTTGTTGCAAAGAGACAGAATAGACTATCATTCCACACTTTATACGCAACAACTGCTTGTGGTTTAATTTTTCTTCTAGATACAGAGAGGGAGTAAAAAAAAAAAAAAAAAAAACTCCTGGTTTCTTACCCCTGCACAGTAATCTCCACTAATTGAAACTCTCTGGAACTCTGGTACATCATATGGCACTTGGACTGGAAGAAAAGCACTTGGAAGAACTGGTGTTGTAGGAGACAGAACAGGATTGACGGAGGGTGCTTTCCATTCCTGGGTTGGAATTTGTAATGACAAAGACTGGGATCGAATCATCTTGAAACTTTTCTTCCTAAGAAGAACCCATCATTTAGAGCATTAAATAAGTCATGGTGTAAAAATATTAAATATATTAGAAAACAAATTATAAACAAATCACTTTCTAACAATTTCCCCTCCCCTCGACAAAAAAAAAAAAAAAAAAAAAAAAAAATCCAACAACAACAAAAAAAAAACTCATACAACAGGAAAACATTTGTCACAAAATATTTGTGCTTTTATTCTTCTGCATGGTATATGCAACTCATGGTTGTTCTCGACCCTTTATATAAGTGCACTATGTCATAAAGTATTTAAAAATCACTCTAAAATGTTATAAAAGTCTATTTTGTTTTATTTACAATTTCTGTTTCAGCAAGTCATGGTATAGAAAAAAATGTGATCACTATGCTTCATTTAAGAGTTGATTCTTAAAGTGTGGTAGCATCAGAATTTCACAAAATATCAGATGGAAATAAGCAAATGTTACATAAGGTAAGTTCTTAGGTGTTATCATGCTATCACACAATCTTTTAATTCTTCAAAAAACAGGCAGCATTTAAAAGCTTGTCTGGCTGTCAGATGAGACTATACATCAAAATTTCACATGTAGTCACTTAGTTAAGCTTGTAAATGAAAGGATGAAACAAATATATTTATTCCTTTGGTAGCGTTCGATGAGACACTGGTAAACGACTATGGGTTATTAAAGTAATAACACAGTATGGCATTAGTATGCAGGAGTACAACATCAGTATACATTCCTCCCTTCTGTGCTTCATATATTTAAAAACATTTACCCTTTCTTAGCAAAACTGTGGCAGATGTGTACCTTAAAACGGCTAAAGAAATATCTGTATTTTTAGTGAAATAATTCTATTATCTCAAGTGACATTTTGTAATATCTATACATTTAAAAAATTATTTTATTCATCTTATTCAGTTTATTTCAGTCATATAATAAATTATCATGATGTGATAAACTAGATGCCAAACCTTAAAATGTTAGTATGAGTCATTAAGAAAGGAATGCTGGAATATTGTCTAGAAGTTGTTTATTATTTCTGTGATGCTCTGAAAAATAAGAACATACAGCAGGGGTGTGAATAACACCCTATTATCAAATTCCATCCTTTCTTAAGTACTCATAGAAACCTTTGAAATCAGTGATTAAACTCCCAAAACACAGCACTGGATCAACTACAACCAAAGGCAACTGAAGCTGTGCTCATGCAAGTGGCCTCTAGGTTCACTTCAGTTCTATAGGACAAAGATGAATGTTCTTTGTGTCCATAGGTATACAACATACATATAATATCCCAGTTCCCACAGCTAAATTTGTGCAAATCTGTACTGTGACCTAGGAAAACAAGATGAGTGTTATGGTTAAATAACACTGGTTAGATTTTATCCCTGAGAGTTGAGGGAAACCTATGAATAACCTCATTATGCCAATACAACTTTTCAGTTTCTCCCTTGGTGTTAAATGTCAGCCTTTGCTTTCATCTATTTTTATGGAGACTAAAAGAAGTATCATACTGCTGTCATTTTCCTGTATGTTAATATTCTCTTAAAAGAGAAGAAAAAAAAAAAGTGAAACTTTTTTTGAAGTATATTCAAGAAGAATAAAGTCTCCCTCTTTCTCTTGACTCTCTACATCAAAAAGTTTGGAGGTCCATTCACTTCTTAAAGTGCAAGTTTAACCTGGCTGTGCTGTTTGTTTAACTTGCATAAGCAATATCTATGCTATTGCTTTAAACAGAGCTGAGACCACCTCACCCACCCAAGCTCCCTAGGCCCTTACCAGGCCACCTGCACAGCATTAAAGGAGATCACAGAAGTGCCTTGTACCTGCTGTTGACTTTTCTCCTGAAGTAATAGACAAGGAGAATGTTATTTGACAGATATTTCAATACTAGCTTACACTTATTTTTAAATTATTTTCCATTATGAAGGCAACTGCTGAACAAACCTTTTGGCTGTTTCTATAGACTGTTGTTCCGCCAGCTCCTTCTGCAGTTCCCTTTCCTTGGCCTCCTTCTGCCCGATAGGGCAGTCTTCAGGAACGGTGAATAGTGACAAGGCATCTTTGCTGTCTTCTTCTCGGAGGACTTTAGCAAATACCTTCTCTGCTAGAAGTCGCACTTGTTCATCAACCTCAGAGATGTTCAGCTTTGGAAACTGTCTCGGCATCTCAGCTAATCGGGAAGACAATTGACATAATTAGAACTGCAGGTAAATGAAGAGACTTTTCTTGGTACTCCTGTTGAAATTAAGAACTTAAGGCAAGAGCAGAATAAATAGAATAACTACACAAAATCTCAATTAGCATGAAGTATGCAAAAAATAAAGTGAAGCCACTGTGCATCTCTACTTAGAGTTATGCTAGTTTGTGAATTAGGAACTTCTTAGCATGTTCATTGACAAAGTTTCCCCCCCGCAACAGAAATACGGGTTATAAGGTTCCAGCTCAGCTGGAAGTATAAAACACCTAAAAGAAAGGTAAGAAATAAACTTTATTGGGTAACAATGAATAAAAGGTAGACCTAACACTGCCAGATTATTCTCAGCTGGCTTAGAAGAGAACCAAGTGTTCAAACATAAGTAGAAGATGATGTTCTAGATAGCTTTTAAGAACATAAAAAGGCAAGGATTTAATGTTTATTGGTTTTATATGTTTTATATTTTTAACTACAATTTAAATAGCCATTAATCACAAAATATTTCCATTGTGTTACAGCAGAACCACTGAAAATATCGTCATTAGTGTTTCTAACTTCATTGCTTTAAATCCCATTTCACCCACAATATAAAAACTGAAACTCAAAACATATTTTAGTATTCTGGAGGGGAAAACAATACTGTGCATTCAAATTGCTTCCCAGCATTACTTATTATTTACTATAAAGCCTTCTTAAAGGCCTTCAATCTGACAGTATTTTAAAACACAGGATCCAATCCAAGAAGTTAAAAGTACAGCTGAGCATTGCACAACAAAGGGATGCAAATATTGCCAGTGTGTGGAGAAGTTTGGGTCCAAAACTGGCATTTCAGAATCCTTTTTAGCTTCAAGAAATACCAACATATTTGGTAAGATGGTATTTATTTAAATAACTTGATGTATGCTAAAAACCAGCATGCCTCATGACAGGTCTTAACTACTCTTAAGGCATAACTTATCAGTGCCCCCCCTTACAGTATCTCAGTGAGCACACTGCAAGTTTTGTATGTTGATATGTGATCTTTCTGATATGTGATCCCGTTGTTGTCAGCCTAAAAGATTCTAATTAATGCGCACCTGTTTTCACAGTTGCTTTAAGAATACTTCAGCTTTTATTCTAAACACAACTATACTATTAAAAAGTGATGAGAGAAATATGGCAACTTAGCTGTCACCTACATTATTTTTTGTTTTTATTTTGTGAACAACCCAAAACCCAGTAGAAATACTTCACTGACTTCAATGAATCCATGCAGTTTTTCTGTTTGCAGAGTATTTGTTTTGCAGTTAATATTAATTCTTCATTAAATAAAGTATAACCACACAACAGACATACAAATACATACCTGCTTACTTAAAAGTCAGAGACAACACACTACAATGTCTTAGAAGTAAACTTAGACTAGTTTCTCAATTTCAAGCCTCAATTAAGTCATGGGACTCTTTCTACTGACCTCAGTGAGCACAGTTGTCAACAAAGCTAACTGGCACACTGAGGTGCCAGCAGCAAGGACCTCAGCAACCTCTTCAGTTGCTGGCAAAACAGTTTTTCTAGTCAGTATTCAACTACATTAAGCATGCTCACAGTCTGAGTGAAGTGTGGCTAAGAGTGCTGCTTCTCCTGCTACAAAAGCATTGAAATCTTTTTTTTGATATTGGATGACTGGCGAAGTCAGGCTGTGTTTAGCACTGGCTGAGCAGTTTTCTAGGCTGAATTTAGGTTTAATAAGCTTAAATTGTTGCGAGACACCCCCATGTAATACTCATGCAAGCAGAACCATCCCAGACTGTTAAGGGATGAGGATCTCATCCTACTGTAGGGGTGCAGTCCATTACCCCACAAGGTGGATGTTAGACAGGAATGTTAGTGGGCTGGGAAACGGGCTCTTAACACCACGCAGCAAACTGGGCCTTTCCAGAGTCTTTCTCCCTCAGGGAAAGGTGCTCGGGGCTGCTCCTTGGCAGAGAGAGCTGCCACCCTGCAGCCTCTAAGGGAAAGCTGCCGGGCTCGTTATTCGCGGCGCAGTTACGGACCCGGCACCTAACGGCCTTGCATAGCTAATGAGCACGCGCCGCTGAAAAGCGCTGCCGCCGCTGCCCCCCCCCCCCCCCCCCGGGCGCGGGGGCCCCGGGCCGCCGC